TATTTAAATATTGCCACTACCCCTCCCAAATTCACTCTCTGGATGCGCCACTGGTGAGAGGTGTCATAAAATAATCCTAAATTAGATTACTGGCGGCGGCTCTCAAAATGTTTCCATTATTTTCCTTTAATTTTCAAAGTTACATAACCCAGTTATTGTTAATTTATTTTAAAAATGGTAAAGAGATAATATGTTTCTTTTGGCCAGATCTATCACCCCTTAAAATGCTTGCACTTATTTATAGGACATTCTGTATAGAGATAGGAATGAATCAAAAATAGTATGAGATTGTGTGGCGTGCTCTGGGAGAATCTGGAATCTGGAAATTCATTGGGAGCGTATAGAAATATTTTGTTAGCATGAGTAACACAAGGGTTACAAAGCCACACTGCAATGAAAAATCATATAAAATAATTAAACTGTTATTCATTGGTCTAAAAACCTTCAGCGCTGTCGCAAATTTAGCGCTTAGATTTACATAATGGTGGAAAATACTCGCCAAAATTTACGAAGGAACTAATAAACAGGAAAACTGGGTCTACTAACGAAACAATGTGTAGATTTTGTAAATCAGAAAAAGATACGGTAGAACATATTCTACGTCAGTAAGATAACTTTAATAAGTTATCAAAAAGTGCTAAAAAAGTTATTGCATTATTTTACCAAAAAGTTATTAAACTTTTTGAAAAGGATACGACTAGGAGTGTAAAAGTAATCAGAAGATGACCATAATAGCTCTATAAATGTGGCAGTGGAATAGGCAAATAGTCGCTTCAAAAATGTGATATAATCTATAATCAAGAAAGTTTATGTTCCACTTTACATTTTCTCCAACTTTGAAAATACGACTTTAATTATCAGCAGAAATGCTGAAGTTCGGCGCTGAACTTAAAAAATGGTTTAAATGGCTTTAAAAAATATTTTTAAAAATGGGAACCCATTCCCCGAGCTCGTCTTATTAGCTACCCCACAGTTTTTTTCTGGTCCGTGAGAGTGAAAAGTTTTTATTGAGGTTGTTTGAAGACTACTAAAAGTTAAGTGGCGGCCTGAAAGCGAAGTGGGGTTAGGGGCAGTGACTTAATAATCAAGCATAAAATCTGTTTTTTTTTTCTTTTAATGAGTGCGCAGCTTTTCTCTGATGAGGAAAGGGAATAATAGGGGCCAGAGGGATTCGATTTTTCCATTGAAATTAAATTTTGTGAGCATATGTAGATTAATTTAGAGCATTTTTTAAAAATATAGCGTATAAAAGTGTTCTACAGGGTATCCCCAAAAAGTTATACATATCAAAATTTGGTATTATGTAATAGAACATCCTATATTGATTTTCGGATTCTAGAAGAGCAATAAAGGTAAGTTTTATTACAGAAGTGTATTACTAAAATGTTAAGTTTTTGACATGTTTAGTTTTATAAAAATGAAGAACACATTTTTAATTTCAATAAAATCTACATAAATTGGTATTTACCCGGTATAGGCTAATATATAATTAAAATAACTATTGCACTTTAAATAAAATTAAAACTTGACCCAAAAAGTTGTGAGACTAAATTAAAAAAAATAAAAATTTAAAACTTAAAATTAATATTGCACATTCTCTACATTTAAAAGCACGTTACTCTTTTATTTTAAATGGAACATCTAGTATATTTGTATTTGACTAAGAGTGGGTCCCAGGTGGGAGCCTCCACTGCGGCCGCGAGGGTCTACCGAGTATAGGTATTATTCCTATCTTCAATGAGAAATTTATGTTTCTTGAAAATACTATTAAGGGTGCCTAACTTCTAGATAAAGATTTTTTTAGATATTTTCATTTTTGTGATTTTGCGTCCGTAGATCTGTATTATTTGATAAAATCAAGGTGGCTGGTTAATTTTGGTGGCCTTTTGTTAATTAAAAACAAAAAAATAAAGGATGTAGAGTAAACCATTCAACAGCAATAAAAATATACACGTTTAGAACATATTTTAATTGTTACAGAGTTAAAACTAGATATAAACGTAATACCGGGTGCGTCTCAAAAGTGGCTCACCCCCTATAACTTTTTTATTTTTTCGGATAAAAAACGAGATTTGGTATGTTAGTATATGACATAAATTAGGATTGATTGACGAATTCAATTATTGTTTTTATTCACTTCCTGTTTCACCGGAAATGACTACAACTTTTGATTTTTAAACGGCACCCTCAGTAATTTTTTACTTTATTCGACAGAAAAATAACATTCTGAATAAAATGACAAACCATATGTCAACTTTTGACATTCTCGCATAATAAAAAATAGTATTTTAAATTTCAATCTAGAGTGCCATGGCTATGTTAAAAACACTAATTCTTAATCAGCCTTGGAAAAATAGATTTCATCATTTAATGTTTTTAGTGTCTTGTCCTGGCCGGTTAAAAAATGCTTAAATCGTATTTTTAATCATATCTCAATTTTTCAACCAAACCAAGCCAAAAAAAAATTCTCTCACGCCTTCCTCGCGAGTAGTTTTCAGGCGCTTAAGCCGGGTTGTCACTGCGCGAAACTGTTTCGCGAAACGGTTTTGCGAAACTAGCCTCGCCTCTTGTATACTTCGTACTCACCCCGTTTCGCGAATATGTTTCGAAGTGAGCCAGCGTCAGTCGGTTTTCGTTCACGCATCAAAAGAGTTTCGTCTTCCGTGTTGCTCAGAGTGTGAACGTGCATCGTGTGTTTCGCGCCAGAAATGGACCAAGAACATTGTCTCGCGCAAACTGGCGGCTCACCACTTGTTTCCGTTTGGAGCACGAAACGTATGTTCGTTGTCCGAAACGCACTCGCGAAACAGTTTCGCGCAGTGACAACCCGGCTTTGGAATCGAAAGTAGGTTGAGGCAAACCGAAATAAACTGAAATGCGACAAAGTTGGACGACGAAATGCGACCTTGACCTTCTTCTTCGACAAGAATTCTCTGCATAGTGTAGAGGCTGTTTTACATTTTAGTCATACATTTCTCTGATAAAACTCTAGTCCAGTCAGTGGGGTGTTTTGCCATAAAAAGGTGGTGTAGTAGTAATTCTTTTATACGTCGTTAAGGTTTGGGTCTTGACAAAAAAATCCAAGTTTTTGACCTTGGGGTGGGACCGCTCGAGCCGCCATCTTGGATAGAAGGTACAGTGACGAAAAGTTGAACATATTTTCCAAAAAAATAGAAAAACTCCCCAATTTTGTAATTTTTCCGAAATTCTCGCTATTTTTTACATAGCACTATGGTTTCTATAAGCTGCTTTTTTGGCCAAAATTAAACAACTTACATTTAATGGAAAATATTCACTGTAAATTTGTGTTTTTAATAAAATAATAAAAGACTAATAAAATGAAGTTATTTTTAATCTTCTCATTCAACGTGTGATTAACTTTTACCTATGAAGCATCTTCAGTATCTAGTACCAAAAAAGAAAGTTGATCAATCATCGAATTACTGCTGTCCAACAAAAAATCTTCTTTAGAAATATCTTCTTCCTCTTCTTCTTCTTGCTCTTGCTCCTCGTATTCCTCTTCTTTTCCACGCTTCTCTTCAAATTGTTCTTCATTTAACTTCTTTTCGATAAAGTCAGGTAGACGAAGTAGGTTAAGTACATCAGCAGGATAACTAAATTTACAAAGCAGCCTGCACATGTAAAGTATTTTGCAGTCTGCACAAGTAAAGCCCAATCCTGCTTATATTCCTCGGAGACTCATTCATTCAAACTTCATTCCTCGGAGTTCATTTAACTCAAGGATAAAATGATGACTGGTTAAAAGTCATCATTTTGTTTTAAACATAAATCTTTAAGCCGCGAAGCCGCCTGCCATCTTTCAAAATTTATACAAAGGCGATTTATCTTTTTTCCATTGTGCCTGAGTTCTTATTCATTATTCTGAAAGTTCTGTCTTACAAAATTTGAAACATACCCGTTTTTCTCAACTTTATCGGCATCTTGTAGCTATTTTTCCAAAAGATCTATATTTTCAATCGATACATAGCTAAAAAAAAATTCTTTTAAAAAAAAGTTGCAGCTAGTAGCAGCCATTTTTTTCTTTGATATGTTCAGAAAGGATTGTTTTAAATTTTACAATAACATCTAGCATGGAGGAACATGGAGAATTTTTTATAAGTCAAACTAAACTTTTAATTTTTTACTTATGTTCAGTCTTAAACTCATTATTTTTAATTAATTAAAAAATAATGGACGCTGATTCTTATGTGCAATTGTTAGTGATTTGTTAAAAATACATATCATAAAGTGTAAAAATAACAGTAATCCGTTTTTATATCCCACTGAAATATATCACTTAATATCCACCAAAACTCTTCCAAAAATAAACAACAACTGAATAGGCACAAATACTTCACTAGAACGTCTAAATATAAATTGATTGCTGATAAGAAATACAAATTCAAACTAAATAAAAATATCAATCTGACTTATTCTTTTTAGCGTTATTTTTAATCTTCTCTTTATTCTGTATATTGTATATGTTATTTTACTTACTTGTTTACAGTTTACACCTATTTTTCTGAATACTGTTTGTTTGTTTAAATGGATGTATTTCTATCTTATATTTACATCATTTTTTTATTTTAGGTTTAGATTTAGAAATATTTATGCTTTGTTAACAAAAATTTGTATATTTTTTAAACAATAAAGTACTTTTGAATTTGAATAATACAAAAAAATCAAAATCTGATCAAATTTTGATGAAAAAAAATGGTGTAATTTTATTCTGCAAGTCAATTATTGCAGGAAAATAAATGGTATATTCGAATTTCGACTAGAACGCATGCATCACAATGGAAGGCAATTAACAACTAACAGTGGCATCGGCGGCGTTTTGTAAGAGCGCAAAAAAATCTCCGGAAAATGTCAATTAATTTTTCTCTCGTCTAAAGCATCAGCCAGGTCCATTTCTGCACATCTCACAATCGAGCAGCCCCTGCCCGTTAGTCGTTTTTTTTTGCGCTGATACGGCACTGGTCCTGGCACCGACCGGTGCATAGTCTGTCGTTTTCACGCTCTATGATTTCGACGCGCTGCTGTTTCTACCGTCCATGGATTCCTATTTTTTACTTTTTTAATTTCGTGTCCGTTTATTTCGTATAACATTATCGCAGTCATCATCATTATTGTTAGCGCAAAATTTGTGTATTTGTTAATACATATATGTAGGTTAAACGAGAACGCGAGTTTTTTTGAAAATGCAGTTTTTTATAAATATTTTGTTACTTTGTGTTCAAGTAGTAAGTATTTTATTTTTTAATTTCTCTCACTAGTAAATACTAGTTTTAATTTTTTTAATTTAAAAGAAAATGCACGATTTTCAATAGTTATCTTTTTTTGCGAAAAAAACCTTATAGATGTGTTCCTGGGGTTCAAATATACCACCCCTGAAAATATTTGCACTTATTTAAGACTCACCCTGTATAATTACATACAATGTATGACTTTTAAATCTTCTTATATTATTTAGAACGTTTGAAATTGTTTAAAAAAATATGTGTGGCGTTTGAAAAATGTCGACATACAGCCTCGCCACAGAAAGTGTCATTTTCACTCCTAATAAAACAATATACTATTTTTCTACGTATGTTTTTAGCATAAAAAGTTCAAGATTTTAACTATTCAAGGCGAACTATTTAGTTTAATAGTATAGGTAAATAGTGGATTTAGACTTTACCTAGATTTTTTCAAATAATAAAGATCTACTGACGCAAAATCACAAAAATTAAAATATCTACGAAAATCTTTGTCTGAGGGGTAGGCAACCTTAATAATATTTTGAAGATATATAAATTCCCCATTGAACGCCGGAAAAATATACTGGGTGTTCCATTTAAAATAATGGACTAACTTGCTTTTAAAAGTGACTAATGTTCCATATTAATTTTGTCTCACCCTGTATAACTTTTCGGGTCAAATTTCAATTTTGTTTAACATACAATGGTTACTGTAATTAAATATCAGGCTATACAAGGTCAACTAAAATTTAGGTAGCTGTTATCGAAATTTAAAATTTATACTCTTCATTTTCACAAAATGTGAAATATATCAAAATCTTTAGATTTTAGGTATATGCTTCTTTAATAAAACTGACCTTTATTTTTTTCCTATAATCCGAAAATCAATTAATAGGGTGTTCCATTAGAAAAAACACAACTTGTGTAACTTTTTTTTGGGACACCCTGTATAGTTCTGTATATTTTTATAAAATGCTTTCAGTTAACCTACATAAGCTGCCAAAATTTCATTTTGATATAAACTACCGTTCTCCTTGGAGCTTCCGCGGCGTATGAGAGACGCCACCCTGTATATTGCACAACTCTAAATACAGGGTGGTCCGAATTGTATTCCGGAAACTTCGGCAGCAAATTCTGCACATAAAAATAAGTAAAAAAGTTCGTATAAACTTATGTCCTAAAATGCTTCGTTTCGGAGATACAGGGTGTAGAAATTTCATTTTTATTTCGATTTTTTTCTAATAATTTCTGACCTAAATTCGGTATTTGGATGAAAATTAGTATGTGGGGGTTTCTTAATATAAGAAATTTGATTTTGATGTCAATATGATTCCTACTTGTAGGGGGCACCACCTACATGTTTTTAATTGATTTGAACAGTAATAACTTATCGTACCTACCTGTATGATACTACCGAGTAAAAAAATATACATTCTTTTAATGTTTTACGTAAAATATATCTCTTGGCAAAAGTTTTCAAGATATTTGGAATGGAAATACTCAATACATATCATTATTGACAAAAAAATAAACACGTTGAATAGATAGTTCTTTGACTGAAATAATAAATTTGGGAACTTTTTATTTTTTTAAGCTAATGATGATTTTTTTAGAAAAAAATACGATAATACAGTTTTTGTTGAATCTTTAGCACAAAATCATTTCAAATTTATGGTTTCAGTCTAATAACTATCCAGTCAACCTGTATAATTTCTGCCAATTATGACATGTATTGACTATTTCGATGCCAACTATCTTGAGAATGGTTGCTCGCAGCGATTTTTACCAAGAGACATTTTTTCCGTAAAATTAGGCATAAATGTATATTTTTTTTTACTCTGTACTGTAATACAGGGACGGACGAAAAGTTATTACGCTTCAAAATAGTAAAAGAACATGTAGATGGCGCCCCCTGCAAGTATGAGTCATATTGACTTCGAAATCAAATTTCTCATGTTAAAAAAAACCCCAGATACCAATTTTCATCCAAATATCGACATTAGTTCAAAAATAATTTCGAAAAAATCGAAATAAATGAAACTTCTACACCCTGTATCTCCGAAACGAAGCATTTTTAGTACATAAGTTTATTCGAACTTCTTTACTTATTTTTATGTGCAGAATATGCTGCCGAAGTTTCCGGAATACAGTTCGGATCACCCTGTATACCAAAGATACTCTAGACCACATTGTATTGAAAAAAATAGAAATAAACTTACAGGATGTTAAACTAACATTTAAAAACGTAACTTCCTTCATGGTAGCGGCTTATCTCTGCCCCTGCGTTTGAAAATACACTGATGATTAAAAATCGGTTGACGACACGCGTAGGTTTAAGTGGTGTTGACCAAATGTAGTCATTTTCCCTTAATTTTCAATTAGGACTATTGCCCCGTGCGTACTTTTGCCCCATTCTACTCTATTCTTTTATAATTTTGGTGCTGTGCAATTGCCAGGTCATTATAATTATTGCAGAAATAAAGATGTTTAATATTGATATTAACAATTTATAACAAAATTGTTGAATAGGTGCTTAATCAAAAACTAAATAATATAAACTCACTTTGTTTTACATCAGATCTTACAACTTTGTGTTGCAAGACAATTTTTTTATATTCTATATTTTTGATGGAATTCCTGATTCTCCCAATGCTAATTCAAAATCATGTTTTTGTCAATTTTACACATATTTTAGTTTTTGTTGCGAAAACTATGGGTGTGTCTCAAAATTGGCTCACCCATTATAACTTTTTTAATTTTTCAGATAAAAAAACTAGATTTGGTACGTTAGTATCTACATATATAAAATGCTAATGTTTATATGTGTCGTCTCTACTGAAGTAACGACTTGCTCTAAAAAGTTGCTTTTTTTACTAAAAGATAGCTAATTGGCTCTTCTAAAAACAGTCATCGCCGGATTTTTTGTTTTTCATTTAATTAAAAAAAATAAAAAGTTTTTTTTCCTGATGTCGTGGCGGATGCGCCAGGTAGTATAACATAAATTGGGATTGATTGACGTATTCAATTGTTTTCGGTCATTTCCTGTTTCACCGGAACTTTTGATTTATAAATGGCACCCTCGGTATTTTTTTACTTTATTCGATTAAAAATGACAATCTGAATCGAATGACATATCATATGTGAACTTTTGACATATTCGCTCAAAAACATATTGTATTTTAAATTTCAATCTAGGGTGCCATGACTGTGTTAAAAACACTAATTTTTAATCAAGGAGACTTGGAAAAATAGATTTGATCGTCTAATGTTTTAGTGTCTTGTCCTGGCCGGTTAAAAGATGACTAAATCGTATTTTTAATCATCCTCAATTTTTTCAAATGGAACGAGGGTGGCTCATTAGCATATTTTGAAAAAGCATTTTTTTACGAGTAACTTGATACTACACTTGGTATTACGAGTCAAATTGTCGTTATGAACCGCAGGTTACAACTTCAAATAAACCATATGTGAAAATGTCAAAAGTTGACATATGATATGTCATTCTATTCAGAGTGTCATTTTCTATAGAATAAAGTAAAAATATATCGAGGGTGCCACTTAAAAATCAAAAGTTGTAGTTATTTCCGGTGAAACCGGAAGTGACAAAAAAACAATTGGATATGTCAATCAATCCCAATTTATGTCATATTCTAACATACCAAATCTCGTTGTTTTATCTGAAAAAATGAAAAAGTTATAGGGGTAAGCCACTTTTGAGACGCACCCGGTATAGGTATAAGGTTAGTATAATAGAAAAATGCCCGGTGGCGTAGAGGTACAGGCTCTCGTCTACCAATCTGAACGTAGTGGGTTCGATTGCCACACCCGGCATTTGATCAGCCGACTATTTTTATTAAAATAAAAATAGTTTGAGTACCTAGATCGACTCAGCCTTAAATGAGTACTTGGGATTCACAATCCTGAGGTCCAAATAGGCGGTTGAAGCGTAGTGCTAGCCACATTACCTTTCTTGTATACCGAACGGCTCTAGTATGGCAAGCTGTACCTTGCTACTCCCAAGGCGTTAAACGCTATATACGGGACCTATTATTATTATTATAATAGAAAAGTTATGATATATGAAAGTTGTTTCCAAAAATGTAATAATATACTTGGTGTTCCATTGAAAATAACAAAGATTCTACCACTTTTCAAATGAACACTGTAATGGTGACAATATTTTAGATAGATGGAGCGGGTGCCTTTATGTAAAAATCCAAATTTAAAAAAAAATTCTATCACAGGTTCTCCTATTACCATCGCCGGAAAGTAATTTACCAGTATCGGCTAGACAGTTTAATCTATAAGGATATTTTGAGATTTTTCAAGTCTCCCTTCCATTATAAGCTTAATGCTTCTAAAATTCAAAATTTGAAGGTTTGGATACTTCTAGAGGTACCTTAGAATTTTAGTCACTCAGTCAGTTTTTTTAGTCCCTGTCGAAGAAGTTTGACTAGCAAGAATTCATAATCCTTCAATTATTTAAGAATTATTGTTGTTACATTCACATATAAAAAATAAAATCAGACAATATCCAATCGATTAATTCTAGTTTTCTAGCTTTCTCTCGACTGTAAAGTCAGTTACAGTTAGCGGCGAGGCAGCTAACTTTTAATCCATTTGGAGATCAATATTTGGAAATTTTTCATTTTTTTCTTCCGTTGGTTGTAAGCTTAAAGCTAAAGTTTGTGACACAACTAGAAGTACCTTAAAATTTTGATGATCTGCCAGTGAGCCAAGTCGAAATTAAAGAAATTTGACAAGCGATAATTCATAAACTATGATGTATAATCACTAGATATATTGGCAACCTATAGCCAGCTATTATAGTATGTACTCATGGTTAATAAAAAATAATATTCTTGATTTATGTACAACGAAGTTACAGGGGGGTCAAAAGTGCCGCTAATGGCTTCGAAAACAGAACGGTACGGCTGCGCTCGGCATGGCTTAGATTAGACTAGCAATAAAACCATCTAGTTTAATATTTAAAAACTTTGTAG